TATATATATATATATATATACACACACACACACTTTTTTGTAAAATATAACAAACAATTGTACTTGTAAATGTATACAAAGTTTTTAAACTTCGAAAATTGACATAAACATATGGATACCAAACAATGATATAAAGTTGATCCAAACTGTACTAAACATTTAAACTATAAACAAGAACAACAACCACAACAATAGGGGTAATCCAAAGATGTTTCTTCTAGCTTAATCTAGAGTAGCCAGCTGGTCTTTAAAAGGCTCATGTAATGATAGTTTCGAGAGTGACTTTGATTTTCAAGAATCACATCAGCTCTGTGTTTCTTTGTTTCCTAAGAAACATCTAGAGCAGAGGTCCATCAGTGGCTATTAGCCCCAAGGTATAGATAGGAACTCTCGGTCTGGGGCCAGTGATGCTCTGTATCCTTGGTGCTTGCGGGGCGGGGGCAACAGCAGGAGGGCTTCTAATGTCCTGGCCCCACTGGTGGACCTCCTGGTGGCACCTGGTATTTTTGGCCCACTGTGTGACAGAGTGTTGGACTGGATGGGCCATCAGCCTGATCCAACATTGGCTTCTCTTATGCTCTTATGAATTGGATCAACATATGGAGCAGAAGTCCATTAGTGGCTATTAGCCACAAGGTATAGATAGGAGCGCCCGGTCTGGGGCAAGTGATGCTCTGTATTCTTGGTGCTTGTGGGGTGGGGGCAACAGTGGGAGGGCTTCTAGTGTCCTGGCCCCACTGGTGGACCTCCTGGTGGCACCTGGTATTTTTGGCCCACTGTGTGATAGACTGTTGGACTGGATGGGCCATTGGCCTGACCCAACTTTGGCTTCTCTGATGTTCTTACCTTCTTAAGAAAGCTTTTTGTCCCTCAAACCAATCCATGAGCAGAGCAGGGGGCAGTTGGCAGGTTAGAAGAGAGGGTGGGTCAAGGCTGGTCCCCCTGACCCTCGGCTCTTCCCAGGCACGACTGGCTTGATGGCAGCTCGAATCCTTCACCAGAGGGGCTTTGCCGGCATTTCCCTCCTCCTGCGATAACATCCATCGCGTTTGGTGTCGTGATTAAGAGCGCGGACTCAAATCTGGGAGAACCGGGTTTGATTCCCCGCTCCTCCACTTGCAGCTGCTTGTGTGACCTTGGGTCAGTCACAAGTTCTCTCAGAGCTGTTCTTGAAAAGAGCAGTTCTCAAAAGAGCTCTCTCAGCGCCACCTACCTCACAGGGTGTCTGTTGTGGAGAGGGGAAGGGAAAGGAGTTTGTGAGCCGCTCTGAGACTCCTTTGGGTAATGAAGGGCGGGGTATAAATCCAATCTCCTCCTCTTCCTCTCCTCCTCCTCCTCTTCTTCTTCTTTTTCTTCTTCTTCTTCTTCTTCTTCTTCTTCCTCCTCCTCCTGGTGGGCTTGGCCCTGACGGCATCACAACAGATGGCGATATCTGGCTTGGGAGGTTCATGGCCTCCTTCTGCCCCACAAAACTTTTCAAAGGTAGCTGGCCTGATGTGACTGTGCTCTAGCTGCTTTATAGTCACCATGTGTGCTCTGGAACCACAGATGAGGTTGCCAGCCTCCAGGTCGGCCCTGGAGTTCTTCTGGAATGAAAACTGATCTCCAAATGATAGAGATCAATCACCTTGGAAAAAACAGCTGCTTTGGAGGTTGGGGTCTTTGGCAATGTTCCCTCTAAGATGTGGAGTCTTGTGAGCAGAAATTCTACTTTGTGAGCTACCGGCATTAAAGCTGTGAGCGAGTGACTTGGCTACTGCATAAATTAGCTTGCTCTGGAGCCATCCCTTCCTGAGCTAGGGCAAAAACGTGTGAGCTGGAAGCTAAAAAACTATGAGCTAGCTCACACTAACTCAGCTTAGAGGGAACACTGGTCTTTGGAATTATACCTCACTGAGGTCTCTCCCCTCCCCAAACCCTGCACTCCCCCAAGCTGCACCCCCAATTGCTCAACCCGGAGTCGGCAACCCTAACCACAGAGTACCATTTGAAACCATGTTGTTCAGCTATGGATCAGTTTGTTTGGTCTAGGCCACAGAGCACTGCAAGATGAGGACGAGTGGTGGGCAACACAATGGTGTCTGTTGAACATAAGAGAGAGAGATCAAGTCAGTGAGCCAAGGCACAAAATAGTTAAGAGTGTGTCGGTTTCTCCCTATTTAGTTATTTTATTGTATTTACGTTATAGTCTGCCTTTCTTGCTGGGATTCAAGGTGGTTTATACAGTACAAGTCAATTTGTTGTTGTTCAGTTGCACAATCGAGTCCGACTCTTCATGACCCCATGGACCAGATCCCGCCAGGCCTTCCTGTCTTCCGCCGTCCTCTGAAGTTTGCTCAATTTTATGTTCGTTGCATCTATGACACTGTCTAACCATCTCATCCTTTGCCGTCCCCGTCTTCTTTGACCTTCAGTCTTTCCCAGCATCAGGGTCTTCTCCAGTGAGTGCTCCCTTCTCATTTGGTGGCCAAAGTCTTTGAGCTTCAGTTTCATTATCTGGCCTTCCAGGGAACAGTCAGGGTTGATTTCTTTTAGGATTGACTGATTTGATCTTCCTGCAGTCCAAGGGACTCTCAAGAGTCTTCACCAGCACCATCATTCGAAAACATCTTTTCTTCGGCTCTTGGCCTTCCAGTCAATAAAATATTTAATAAGTCGTATAATAGGACTGGGATTTCAGAAATCTGAAACTAGGCCCCCCCCAAAAAAAAAAGTATTAGCGATGACGTGTTAATGATGCTTCAGGAAAAATAATAATTACTGAAAAGAGTTCCAGCCTGCACCTCTCCTCAACAGCCCTCCGTGAGCGATTTCACCGAAAGTCGCGAAGGTCACCGATGGTATTAGGATAATTATGGCTCCCGGCTAAATCAATTATGCCTCGGCAGGGAGGGCAGGGACCAGCTCCTCACTTGTAACCCCGATCAAAAAAATTGACCGGATATTTTAATGACCTAAAGCATTCTTTTTTCTCTCCCCCCCACCCCCATCTCCCCTTTTTAGGATGAACTCGACCTTACGGATAAGCATAGAGAAGCGATGTTTGCGCTTCCGGCTGAGAAGAAATGGCAGATCTACTGCAGCAAAAAGAAGGTAGGAGACTCGACCGAAAATAAGTTCGCCTCCCAAGGCTCTTCCGTGTGTTTCTCAAACAGTTGCGAGACGGAGGAAAATTCCATGGGATTCGTGGGATTGTTCTGGAGAAGACCAGGAAACCATCTGTGGTGCATGGCGTTCCCTTGGACGTGGAATTTTTAATCACCTTAAACAAGAAGCTAAACAGGGTCAGCCAGTTTTGGTGTAGTGGTTAGGAGCGCAGACTCTAATCTGGGAGAACCGGGTTCGATCCCCCACTCCTCCACATGCAGTTGCTGGTGTGACCTTGGGTCAGTCACAAGTTCTCTCGGAGCTGTTCTCTCAAGGGCAGTCCTCGGTCAGAGCTCTCTCAGCCCCACCGACCTCACAAGTTGTCTGTTGTGGGGAGGGGAAGGGGAAGGAGATGTAAACTGCTCTGAGACTCCAATCTCCTCTTCCTTCTCAGATGGGAGACCACCAAGAAGGCAAGCAGCGACAAACCACCTCCCAGTGGTTTAGCCACAATCAAGCTGCTAGTCCATAACATATCACAGGAGTGCTATTACTGTAAGAGGAGGAGGAGGAGATTGGATTTATACCCCGCCCTTCACTCAGAAGTCTCAGAGCGGCTTACAAACTCCTTTCCCTTCCCCTCCCTATAACAGACACCCTGTGAGGTAGGCGGGACTGAGAGAACTCTTTCAAGGACTGCTCTTGAGAGAACTGCCCTTGAGAGAACTTGTGACTGACCCAAAGTCACCCAGCAGCTGCATGTGGAGGAGTGGGGGAATCAAACCCAGTTCTCCCTGATTAGAGTCTGCGCACTTAACCACTACACCAAACTGGCATAAGAGGGTTTTTCACGTCCCACAGTGTCAACGAATGCTTCCTGAGGGGCACGTCTCTCATCCCTTTGCCTTCTGCCTTGTCCTCGCTGGTATCCTACAGCGGAAGGCCATGCCGTGTCTAGACCATGCAGAGAGAGACTGGCATCTTACCGTCTCATTGGGCAAACGTGGCGCCCGCAAGCGTCCTTTAATGCTTCTTTGGTAATGGAAAAACCGTCCTTGTAAAATATCGCTTTGGGAAGACGCAGCGTTGTAATGAGGCTTTGTGAGTTCTTTACGGAGACTTGTGTCCCGGAGGCTTAATTTGTGTTGCATGATTAAAACAGAGTGATACTTTAAAGGGGGAGGGGAGGGAAAGATCGCCTTGCCAGTCTGCAGTGTGCATTAGATTTGTGCATGTCATGAAATCCGTCTCTGGGAGACCTTTATCGGGACCGGCTACGGTGGCACAACCCTCACCTGGATGGCCCACTCAAGTCCGGGCTCATCACATAGAATCATAGAATCTTAGAACAGATAAAAGGAAGTCCTTCTTCACCCAAGGAATGATTAACACATGGAATTTACTGCCACAGGAGGTGGCGGCAGCTACAAGCATGGACGGCTTCAAGAGGGAACTGGAGAAACATATGGAGCAGAGGTCCATCAGTGGCTATTCGCCACAAGGTGTAGATAGGAACTCTCGGTCTGGGGCAAGTGATGCACTGTATTCTTGGTGCTGGGGGGCATAGTTGGAGGGCTTCTGAAGTTCTGGTCCCACTGGTGGACCTCCTGATGGCACCTGGTATTTTTGGCCACTGTGTGACACAGAGTGTTGGTCTGGATGGGCCATTGGCCTGATCCAACATGGCTTCTCTTATGTTCTGATGTTCTTATGTTCATAGGGTTGGAAGGGACCTCCAGGGTCATCTAGTCCAGCCCCCTGCACAAAGCAGGAAATTGACAACTACTTCCCCTCCACGCCCCCAGTGACCCCTGCTCCATGCCTAGAAGATGACAAAAAAAACCCACCAACTCTCCGGGATCCCCGGTCAAACTGGCCTGGAGAAAAATTGCTTCCTGTCCCCAAAGTGGAGATCGGCATTTCCCTGGGCATGTAAGAAAGGGCCACGAGGACTAAGCACTGAGGCAACCCTTCCTGCCCTCCCTCTCGTGATCTGCCTAAGTTTGTCCCTGGCTAGTACTTGGATGGGAGACCACCAGGGAAGCCCAGGGTCACTACACGGAGGCAAGCCGTGGCAAAGACCCCTCTGAATGTCTCTCACCTTGGAAACCCTGCCAGTCTGACCTTGTCTGACCTGAGTACTGACCTGAGTACTGATCCAGTCTAAGGCAGCTTCATGTGTTAGGAGAGGAGCCGTGGCTCAGTGGTAGAGCCTCTGCCTGGCATGCAGAAGGTCCCAGGTTCAATCCCCGGCATCTTCGGTTGAAAGGGGCAGGCAGAAGGTGATGGGAAAGACTGACCTTGATAGACTAATGGTCTGATTCAGTATAAGGCAGCTTCCTGTGTTCACATTTACTAGGGAGGGGAACCATGGCTCAGTGGTAGAACCTCTGCTTGGCATGCAGAAGGTCCCAGGTTCAATCCCCGGCACCTCCAGCTAAAAGGATCGGGTCATAGGTGATGGGAAAGACTGACCTTGATAGACTAATAGTCTGATTCAGTATAAGGCAGCTTCCTGTGTTCATGTTTATTAGGGTGGGGCTGTGGCTCAGTGGTAGAGCCTCTGCTTGGTATGCAGAAGGTCCCAGGTTCAATCCCTGGCATCTCCAGTTGAAAGGGCCAGGCAGAAGGTGATGGGAAAGACTGATCTTGATAGACTAATGGTCTGATTCAGTATAAGGCAGCTTCCTGTGTCCATGTTTATTAGGGAGGGGCCGTGGCTCAGTGGTAGAGCCTCTGCTTAGCGTGCAGAAGGTCCCAGGTTCAATCCCCGGCATCTCCAGTTGAAAGGGCCAGGCAGAAGGTGATGGGAAAGACTGACACCTTGATAGACTAATGGTCTGATTCAGAATAAGGCAGCTTCCTGTGTCCATGTTTATTAGGGAGGGGCCGTGGCTCAGTGGCAGAGCCTCTGCTTGGCATGCAGAAGGTCCCAGGTTCAGTCCCCGGCATCTCCAATTATAAGTAGGTGCTGAGAAACCCCTCAGCCCGAGACCCTGGAGAGCTGCCACTAGTCTGAGTAGATAATATAGACTGTGATAGTCGGGTTGATCTGATTCAGTATATGGCCGCTTCATGCGTTCTTCTTTAAGGCCATCTCTGTGTTGAACGGCGGGGCTCCTCTGGGTAAGAGAAAGGGAGGAAAAACTGGCGTGCAGGAGCTTTGTCTAGTGCTGCGGCCAGGACGCCTCCGTCCCTGCCGCATGATGCCCCGCTGTAGGTTAGGTTTCCCCCTGCGACTCACCTCGCAAGCCGCTGCCGCGTGCCTCGCTCGCAGGCAGCCAAAGGTTCTCACAGCAGGAGTCCGGTGTTCTGTTTAGAAAGGAGAGTGAAAACCCGGCGCCCCTATATCTATGCCAACGGGGCGCCCTGGATAATCAGTGCAGAAGCCAAAACTAATGGGGCTTAAAAGCAGCGCGGCTTTTCGGGAGGAGAGCTGGGAAGGGTGATCGAAGCCCTCTCGTCAAATATTTAAAAGGATGTCTACGCAAAGCGGGAGGGGGAGAGTTGATTGCGCAGTCGGGATCGAGGCAAGGAGCAAAGGAGGCTTTGGGGAGGGTGAGCCCAGTGCAGAGAAAACCATTTACTGGTCAGCAATGTTCCCTCTAAGCTGTGGAGTCTTGTGAGCAAAAATTCTACTTTGTGAGCTGCTGGCATTAAAGTTGTGAGCGAGTGATTTGACTGCTGCATAAGTTAGTTTGCTCTGGAGCCCTCCTTCCTGAGCCAAGACAAAAAATGTGTTAGCTGGAGGCTAAAAAACTGTGAGCTAGCTCACACTAACTCAGCTTAAAGGGAACACTGCTGGTCAGGCACATTGACTTGCTGGGATGAGCTACCCGGAGGTGCTGTAGCATCTCCGGCCTCGGGGGAAATTGAGGGCAGGTTGGCGGAGATGCTTTAGGTACCGGAGAGGCCTTGGGGTGGAGATTTAGTCAGCCTGGATCCCTTCTGGGTCCGATTTCCGAGTGTCTGGGAAGAAAAGCTATATAAGGCATTGGAAAGACTTACCCAGCGCAAGAGGGGGAATCCGCGTACTGATTGCCTGATATTAACACGGCATGTTGTGGAAAGACCAGACTCACTCACTGGGACAGTCAGTCATGCTAGGAAAAGCGGAAGGCAGCAGGGAAAGAGGAAGACCCGAGATGAGATGGATGGACTCCGTCAAGGCGGCCATGGCCCTCTGTTTGCAAGACCTGAGGAAGACTGTTGATGATAGGATGTTTTGGAGGATGTTCGTTCATAGGGTCGCTACGAGTCAAAGGCAGATTGACAGCATTTAACACACAGTGCACTTACATCACATAAGGACATCAGAAGAGCCCTGCTGGATCAGACCAGGGGTCCATCCAGTCCAGCATCCCGTCTCACACAGAGGCCAGCCAGTTCCTCTGGAGGACCAACAACAGGGCAGAGAGGCCGAGGCCTTCATTAGAACATCAGAAGAGCCCTGCTGGATCAGACCAGGGGTCCATCCAGTCCAGCATCCCGTCTCACACAGAGGCCAGCCAGTTCCTCTGGAGGACCAACAACAGGGCAGAGAGGCCGAGGCCTTCATTAGAACATCAGAAGAGCCCTGCTGGATCAGACCAGGGGTCCATCCAGTCCAGCATCCCGTCTCACACAGAGGCCAGCCAGTTCCTCTGGAGGACCAACAACAGGGCAGAGAGGCCGAGGCCTTCATTAGAACATCAGAAGAGCCCTGCTGGATCAGACCAGTGGTCCATCTAATCCAGCCTCCTATCTCACACAGTGGCCAACAGGTTCCTCTGGAGGGCCAGCAACAGGGCACAGAGGCCGAGGCCTTCATTAGAACACCAGAAGAGCCCTGTTGGATCAGACCAGTGGTCCATCTAGTCCAGCCTCCTGTCTCCCACAGTGGCCAACCAGTTCCTCTGGAGGACCAACAACAGGGCAGAGAGGCCGAGGCCTTCATAAGAACACCAGAAGAGCCCTGCTGGATCAGACCAGTGGTCCATCTAATCCAGCCTCCTATCTCACACAGT